GAATGGGGAGTTATTGTTTAATGGATGCGGAGTTTCAAAATGAGAAGATGAAAAAGTTCTAGAGATGGATGGTGATGATGGTCACACAACAATGTGAATGTACTTAATACCACCAAACTCTACACTTAAAGATGGTTAAAATGGTAAACTTCATGTGATGTATATTTTACTGCAATTTTAAAAGAAAAAAAGCAAACACCTACAAACAACTAAAAAACAAATATAACGGGAAACAAATGCTGAAGCTCTAATTACCACGTGACCCAGCTCACGGGGGCCCATGTCCTTCAGGCGAATCTCTATTAAAAGCTCTCATGGTCTACTTGTCTGGGCAGGGAATGCGGTGGGAACGTTCCTAATCACAATGGTGACACACTCTAGTAGGGGAGGAGGACAGGAAACACTGAAATTTGGGAGGTATCCTGATGGGACAGACATGGGGGTTATACAAGCCCAAACAGTGGTCAGGGAAGCTTTGCTAGAAGAGAAGGTATCCCAACTGAGACTGAGAGAAGTCAGCCAAGCAGAGGAAGAGGCTGGTGTCAGCAGAGGAAACGCATATTCAAAGGCCCAAAAGCATGGGATAAACATGGTCGTTGGAGCCTGAGCGCTATTCCTTTACCCTCTGTGGGGGAAAGCAGGACTGTGGAGAGGTTCAACTTTCTAAAAATGGGAGGTGCCCGGATGGGGCAGAATGTAACACTTTCGTTACACTGAAGACACTTCTGTTAACTAGAGTCCAGGCTGCATCCAGGAGTAAGAAGCCCTGGCTTATGAGCCAGAACAAGACGGTTTTAGTCAGGGCGATCCCACCTTCTGGTTTACCTGGGATAGGCCCCTTTTACTCTCTAAGATATCCAGGTTGGCCAGGCGCGGTGGCTCACACCTGTAATCTCAGCACTTTGGGAGGATGAGGCAGGCGGTTCACAAGGGCAGGAGATCGAGACCATTCTGGCGAACACAGTGAAACCGCGACTCTACTAAAAAATACAAAAAACTAGCCGGGCAAGGTGGCGGGCGCCTGTAGTCCCAGCTATTCGGGAGGCTGAGGCAGGAGAATAGCGTGAACCCGGGAGGTGGAGCTTGCAGTGAGCCAAGATCGCGCCACTGCACTCCAGCCTGGACAACACAGCGAGACTCCATCTCAAAAAAAAAAAAGATGTCTAGGTTTGGGCAAAAAATTACTCAATCATCCTACTTTTTGAAAAATTGGGGTAAAACTCACATAACATAAAATTTACTATTGCAACCATTTTAAGTTCACAGTGCAGCAGCGTTTAGTACATTTATATCATGCAACTGAGGTAGGAGGTGGGACTCAACTCTGCAAGCGGGGCTCAGACACCAGACCAAATTGAGGACTAGCTAAAACAGGTCAGGGCAGAAGTACCTCCCTGTAAGACCTGCCCACCAGTGTGCCATTGTCAGTCTACCAGTGCCATGGCAACATCCAGAAGTTACCACCCCACTTTTCTTTTTGAGACAGAGTTTTGCTCTGTGGCCCAGGCTGGAGTGCAGTGGCACAATCTCGGCTCACTGTAGCCTCTGCCTCCTGGGTTCCAGTGATTCTTCTGCCTTAGCCTCCCAGATAGTTGGGACTGCAGGTGCACACCACAACACCCAGCTAATTTTTGTATTTTTAGTAGAGACAGGGTTTCACCATGTTGGCCAGGCTGGTCTTGAACTCTTGACTTCAGGTGATCCACCCGCCTCGGCCTCCCAAAGTGCTGGGATTACAAGCATGAGCCATCGCGCCATGCCCAGTTGTTACCACCCCTTTCTAGGGCAACAATCTGACAACCCAGAAGTTACCAACCTTTTCTATAAAGTTCTGCATAAACCATCCCTTAATTTGCATATAACTAAAAGTGGGTATCAGTGTGACTGCAGAACTGCCTGTGAGCTGCTACTCTGGGCACACGGCCTACAGGCCAATTCTGCTCTGCAAGGGGCAGCACCTCTGTGGCTGCTGTACACTGCTGCTTCAATAACAGTTGCTGTTTATGCTGTTTAACACCACTGGCTCACTTGAATTCCTTCCTGGATGAATCTAAGAACCCTCCCCAGGATAAGCCCCTATTCTGGGGCTGGCCTATAGTGAGTGCATCACAACCATCACCCCTCTGCAGTTCCAAAACATCTTCATCACCCCAAGGAAATCCCATACTCACTTAGCAGTCACTCCCCATTCCCCTCTCCCCCAGCCCCTGGCAACCACTAATCTACTTTCTGTCTCCACGGATTTGCCATTTCTGGATATTTTGTAAAAATGGAATCCGGCCAGGCGCGGTGGCTCACACCTGTAATCCCAGCACTCTGGGAGGACGAGGCGGGCGGATCACGAGGTCAGGAGATCAAGACCATCCTGGCCAACACGGTGAAACCCAGTCTCTACTAAACAAAATACAAAATACTAGCCAGGTGTGGTGGTGGGTGCCTGCAGTCCCAGATACTCGGGAGGCTGAGGCAGGAGAATGGCGTGAACCCGGGA